CCCCCCCCCCCCCCCCTTATAAGTCCTCTGAAAAACAACACCACTAATAAGAAAAGACAAGGCGTTTTTTGTGTGTATGTTATAGGGGCCCTGTTACATGGTGGATTGATAAAAAATAGCGTTTTTTTTAAAAAAACCTAGCCTGTAAAAGGCCTGTTATGCAAGCTATTCTAAACCTAACTGGAGTGAAAGCGTTTTAAGACAGAATTGATCAGGAAATTGAGTAATTTTAACTTTCAGTGGACAAAAACCTTGTACCAGAATAATTTAAACAATATCGCATTCTTTTTTACATTTTTCAAGGACTATAGATGTAATTAGTTATCTGTAATAGTCTGTAATAACACCAAAGAAAATTTCTTATGAGAGCCCGAGAAAATAAATGTCAAATTTCACAAAATGACATCCTACTCAAGAAATTTTCAGAATTTTTTTAGTGTTTTCACAATTCTTGTGAAATTTGACATTTATTTTCTTGGGCTCCCTTGAGAAATAGACTTTGGTGTTATTACAGATAACTTATTGTATCTATAGCCCTTGAAAAATGTAAAAAAGAATGCGATGTTTAAATTATTCTGGTACAAGGTTTTTGTCCACTGAAAATTGAAATTACTCAATTTCCTGATGGATTCCGTCTTAATCAAATTCTTCACATAATTCACGAGGAACCGACAGTGCATGTATTTTTCTTTCAAATTAATTCACCGAGACAACAGCAGTGTTCAAGATTTAGCACAAAGAAAAGGTGAGCAAAACCAAGAGTTCGTCCGTAAAAATGCTGATACAATCAGAGCATACGATAAACATAGGCTCGGCGCATCGTAATGAATGCTGTAAGGGAGTTGGAAAGCCTGACTTACGCCTTCTACAAACTAAGGACGCAGAAACGAAAATGGAAGATGACAAGAACAGACTCGAGGGAGGAATGTTAAGGTACCGTTGAGTGATTATATTTCTTGTTTAGATGATGTTTTTCGGGAAACCGTCACCAAGAAACTGAAAGAACTTAAACAATCTTCAAACTACTCTTGATGACCAAGAATAGTTTGAAGAGATTGGTTAAGGGTCGAATAGCAATGTTGTCTCGAGCTTTGAGAAGAAACATGAGTGTTTGGAGACACGACACTCTAAGAGCCCCAAACAATGTTTAACATTTTCAGAGCCGAGAACGCGCAAAAGTTGAAACTTGAACCCAATTCTT